TATATGTACATGTATAAAGATTCTATATGTACATGTACAAAGAGATCATGTAGTCTTTCTCCTTTACAGGAATCTACTGCAACAGCATTTCCAACAGATAACCATCCAATCTTTGTTTAAACAGTGGTGTCAAATCTTGGCAATTTTCAGACCTGTGGATTTCATCTCCCAGAATTCCCCAACCAGCCTTGTCCACACATCTGAAAATTTCAAGAATGGATACCCCTTGGGTTTAAATACATCCAGCAAAAGACATTCTACCAAGCTTTCTGTTCCATTGTAGAATGGCTCTTTGTGGTGTTGGAAGTTAAAACCCACCCCTCTCCTAGGAAAATGAAATATTTTAGGATATATTAAAAAGGCAGAATATTTCCCTTAAAAAAAGAAGTAGAAACCCAGAGAGGCAGAAACTCAGCCCCCCCCCCCTTTGTTAATGGGCCATTAAGGCCTGGGCCAAGTCTACTCTACATAACAAAGGTCTACCTCCTTTAGGCAGACTCATAATAGGAATCCCAAAGCCCTTTCATTACATCATCATCCAGCAAGGCTCAACCAAGCTTGATGCTCAGGACAGCCTACAGAGTTGCCCCTGTATAGCCCCATGGGAGTCTGACAACCAATAAGAATACAAGCTCAAATTCAAATCCCAACAGAGGGCATAAAACCTCTGGGACTCTCAGCATCTCTTCCCTTTTCACTCAGGAGCTCCAAGGCATGTAATCCTGTCCATCATTAAACCATCTTTCCAAACACCCTCTGTGTTTCCAGTATCTTTTCCCCACTTGGAACTGAACACAGAAGGATATTTCTTCCAGCAGCGGCTAGGAATTCCATTTAAATCTTCTTTTTGTATTATCATTCGACTTGGTGTTTCTGAACCTCAACAATTTTAAAGATAGATTGCAAGCTGTTCAGAGTTATCCTGAGGTAAGATGAGTGGCCAATAGATTTTATAAATATTTTATATTTTATAGACTTCAGTTCCCAGAATTCCCCATCCAGCTTGGAGAATTCTGGGATCTGAAGGCCATACAGTTTCCATCTGTTGCTTCTCATCCTGCCTTCTGGTGCTTTGGAGAATAGTTTGACTCCCTCTTCTTTGTGGCAGACCCTTAGATATTGGAACACTGCTATCATGTCACCCCTAGTCCTTCTTTTCATTAAACTAGACATGCCCAATTCCTGCAACCATTCTTCATTTGTTTAAGCCTCCAGTCCAGTCTCCTAATCATCTTTGTTGCTCTTCTCTGCATTCTTTCCAGAGTCTGAACATCTTTTCATATCGTGGCAACCAAACTGGATGCAATATTCCAAATATAGTTTTACCAAGGCATTATAAAGTCGCGATCTTCATGTGATCTTGATTCTATCCCTCTCTTAATGTAGTCTAGAACTGTGTTGGCTTTTTTGGCAGCTGCAGCACATATTTAAGTGACTGTTCTTTACAACTTTATGTGGGTCCATTAAATATAATTATGTATATTTTATATGAAAATACAGTGGGTGCGATGGCTCAGCAGTTAAAGATATGGAGCTTGTCAGCTGGAAAGCTGGCAGCCCCAAGCTCTTGCCCACACAGCATTTTGAAAACATGCAAATGTGAGTAGATTTACAGGTGCCACTTTGGAGGGAAGGTAACAGCGTTCTGTGCACCTTTGGTATATGATCACAGAAAATGTCTTCGGACAACACTGATTCCCTTAGCCAAGAAACAGAGATGAGCAGTGCCCTAGAGTTGGACATAACTGGGCACTCATGTCCTTTACAGAGACTCATCTCTCCACCCATCAGCTTTGGAGGTTCCCAAGGAGCTGAGCTGAGGTTTCTGGAATAATTATTATTCCTAGAAGATCAGAATCAGTTCCACACTCTATACATCAACTTGGTGCTAAAACAGAACATGATCCTAGTCCATATGAATAAATTTAACTGGATGGGCATTGAAGCTGCCATCCTTGAGCCTATCTCATTCTGAGATTTCTGAGTATATATAGTACTAAGGGATGAGTAAACAATAGAACAGAATTCTATATATATTGTCCATGTTTCAGTGGATTACTAAATTCTTGGCCTCCCAATTACTATACCTATCAGATAAAATCTGTTTCAAAACAAATGACATATTGTATCAACATCATGGCAAGTCTATGTATTGTTTTCTTGCAAACAATACATAAGTAGGTTTTTTTCTTCTTCTTCTCCTCCCAATTCAAGCATGGAAAATCTTGGTGGTCTCCTATCCTCCAGTATTTTCTGCAAGATTGATTAATTGCTATTATTTAGGCAGATATTTAGGAGATATTAAGTATCTCCTCTTATACTAGTGAACTTATACTAGTGAAATGAGGATATTTGGAATGAATTAAAATTTGATTTTGAAAGGGCTAACGTTGGAAAGGGTGAAACTTCCGCTCACTTTCAGTACTTCAACAAAGTTTGAAGTAATCTAATGGACAAATCTAAGCTTTCTGATTTTGTGGGCTCCTCTACATAACAGGCGTGGTTTTGTAAGCCGAAGTAAATCGTGTGGCTGCTCAGTGATAGACAGCTGAGTTGACCAGTAAACTTGCTTAATGGTAAGTTAATGGCAATAGAACAGTCGAACCAATAGAGAATAGCGGCATTATGGCGGGAGATTTCAAATGGCGGGATCGACAGAAAGGGCAATGAGGCTGTCAGTGGATCTCCCACCTTCAAAACTATTACTATGTCAGGCTTAGGAGAACGCTACTCTTTGATCAACAAGAGTGAGGGAACGCCCTCAGGAACTGAAGAAAGAGGATGATTTGTTCCAAGTTCATTGAACTATCCAATGAGCGCTGGAGGCATGTCTTATTCGTTGATAAGCATTGCGCTTGACCAATGAAGATAAGCGTGGGGGAGGGCTGTGCAGTCTTTGTAAGAGAGGGTGGTTACAATTTTTTTTGATATTCAAGTATCCAATAGGGAAATATCGCTCTAGCTTAATACGCGCAATAACCATGCTGTAGGCAGGATGCGGTTGCAAATAAGGCGCGACTGGAGGAGGAACGGCGTGAGGAATTTGAGAGGCAGCAGATTTGCCCAATAGGACGCGTAGGCTGGGGGCCGCGTCCTCATTCGACTTCGGAAGGCGGATTCAAAATTAATGGACATCAGTATCGTCGAATAAGTTGCGACCACACCCCTTCCCTTACGTGAGCAGCCGTAGGAATCAACAACCACACGTATCTACCCTATCGAATAACAGACAGACACTCTTTCCAAAGGAAGTCTCTCTACACCAATCATCCCCGAGCATGCGGGTGGGAAGTCCAGGAAGCCGTCTTTGCTTTCAGGGGAGACACAATGGAGACACAACAGGGGGAAGGTGGGGCTGCCTGTGATTGACGGCTGAGCGTGTCCAACGGCACCCCGCGACTACGGGGCCGGGAAATTGACAGGCTTGCGGGAGGGCGAATCGCACGGGGGAGAAGGTGGGCTCCCGCGCGTTGTGAGGCGGGCGAACCAACAGCGGAGAATAAGAAACGGAGCGCTCGTGCGGGTATGCGTGTAAGAGAAAGGGAGAAAGGGAACAGGGAGGGGGGTGGAGGGAAAGCGAAAGCGGGGGGGGGGAGGTTGCGGGGGCAAAGTCCTTTGGGGATGGCCGCGCGTGAGGAGGCGGCAGCAGGGAGGGAGGGAGGGGAGAGGAGGAGGAGGAGGGGGAGGAGAAGAACACGGCTCTCTCGCGCGCGGGTGATTACACCAAGGCGCGGTGCGCGTGGGAACCCGCGAGGACAGGGAGGGGGGGGGTGTCTCGCGGCGGGGTGGGGATGGCGGGGAGGGAAAAAAAAATCTCCCTTGGGTCGCGTGAGGGTCGCGCGAGGTTGGGGGGGCAGAAACGGCTGCCTTCGACTTTTGCCTGTCAAGTCAGCCAGTCTCTGTCTGTACACATACATACATATACACATAAACCGCCTTCCCCGCCCTCATTTCATTTCCCCTTTCAGTCCAGATCGTGAGGTAACAAAGCCCCCAAATGGGGCATTTCCTCTCCGGGTCAGAGACCCCGTTCCCTCCTCTCCTGTTTCATACTAAATAGCCTCTATGAATAAAAAAAAAACCTCGTTTCCTCAGGCTCTCCCTCAAAGCTGAATCTCTGCCCTTCAACTGAAGGCTTTGGTTTTAGGGCTCAGGTAAGGAGCATTTCTCCACCCCCCAACTTCCCCTTCGTGCTCTGTAATTGCCTTTCTGCAAAAACAAAAGAAACAAAGAAACAACTCAAGTTTACACCTAACTCTGCCTAATCCTGTCTTCCCTTAATTTTTAGGCAGCATTCTCAAAAGGTTTAAAACAGTTTTTAGTCTAAGACATCAATGGGACACTAGGTTGGGAAAGGCAGAGTAGGTGTAGTTTTTATTTATTTGTCTGTATCCCACCTTTATTGTTTTCACAAATAACTCAAGGCGATAGCCAATCAAATTCTTTTTCAAATCTGTCACATGCTCTGTGGCATCAACTAGCTTTCTCTCAACTCTTCACTTGGTGTTCTCTTCCTTCTGTGTTAAAATATCTTCTCTTTATAGAATTGGTCCAGAAATTCCCTATCCACAACTAACTATGTCGCATTCGGGGCCTGAATCCAGTGTACTAGTATATTTGAAGCTCTTGCCCGTTGTTATACATACAGGAAGTCCTTTATTTAATGATTACAATTGAGTCCAAAATTTTTGTTGCTACCTGAGACAGTTGTTAAGTGAGTATTGCCCCATTTTGCAGCCTTCCTTGCCATGGTTGTTAAACGAATCCCTGCAGTTAAATTAGTAACATGGTAGTTAAGTGAATCTGTTTTCCACATCAACTTTGCTTGTCAGCAGGTCACAAATAACCCTGGGACATTGCACCCATTTGCAAGTATGAACTAGTTGCCAAGCATCTGAATTTTGGTCATGTGACCAAGGGGATGCTGCAGTGTCATGTGTGTGAAAATAGTCATAAGTCATTTTTTTCAGTGCCATTGTAACTTTAAACAGTCACTAAATAAATGGTTGTAAGTTGAAGACTTCCTGTACTGTTTCACACACTGCTGCTATAAAGTTGCTATTTGAGACAGGTTTTAAAGCTTTTTTGAGGCTTTTAAAATTGTTCTAGTGTGTCAAAAACCCTGTGCTGATTCTTCAATACAGTATGTGTCATGTAGTAGATGTTAATACCTTTTAGTGGTTAGGACCCCACAGTTCAACATTTATTTACAAATAATTCTCTTGTATTGGCACTTTCTTGTTTACCAGCAATTCTTTTTGCTACAGCTCTTTGATATGTATGCAGTTATCACTGTATTTCATGTCCACTCCTTCTGAAAAGGACTTAGGTATATGAAGTCATAATGTTTTCCCCTTCATAACAGCCCGGAATATTGCTTTTCATCTAATAACTGTATCGTAGTGTATCTTGCTTATTTCATAAACAAAACTAATAATGTGAACGTACTGTTCAGAAAGATACCTCAGTAATTTTGTTCATACAGTGCAAACAGTCATAATGTGGTTTCCTTATTTGCTGTGTATGAATGAAACCAAATATAGTTCACCCAATAAACCCTGGCTAGATCGATGGCAGTGTGATACATAAGCTAAGTAAGAGAAACAGTTTTGAAAATTGAAATAATTATATATTGGGAAATAGCAAACATGCTGTTGTCTTGACTGTGTTTTTACCCCACCCTTGTGCCTTCCTGATGTGCAATGGGATGGCATAGTTGCACTTCCTGACATGCATTGGGCAACGTGTGGTGGCACAGAGCTGCATTTAACCTTTTGAGGAAACCTTAGAACATGATGAATACAAATAGTGTGGATCTATTTTTCTTTAGTTTTTAAAGATGTGTTTTCTTTTTTAAAACTACATTAAGCTTACTATAGAACATGCAATTTCAAGTTTGTATTTCATATGGTAACAAATATTCTCAGAAATGTTCAGCAATAGCAGTCAGAGGAATCTCAGGGTTATAGTTTGTCATACTTGTTCTACAAATTTTAGTTAAGTGTAAGGTTAGGAAATATTGCTTTTTATCTACTCCTATAAAATAATTTATTTAAATTATATAATGCTTGTATAACCTTTCCCAAGAAATTCTGCCATCTTGAGGATTAACTGCTATTTTCTTCTGACATTGCTGGGAATTGAGAGAAGAAAAGTAAGAAACTGTAGCCTGCTATAGTTCAGAAAACTAAAGTTAGGAAATTCTCTGGCCCAGATTATGAAACAAGAACTTGTATGTAAATAGACTTGAGCTTCTTACAAATAGATTATGGCAATCTTTAATTAACACCCTATCTCTTTTGAAGAATACTTTGCAGAAATGCTTAGCTCTGTATGTGATGAAGAAGTATAATCGTTTCAACAACTCTACCTCGAAATAGTCACAGTCAGGGGTGAGTTTCTACTGGTCCTGTCCACCTCTGTAGAACCGGTAGCTCTGAAGAGCAGCACATATAGAACCAGTCTGCTGATGTTTTTGCCCACCCGCAGCCTGGGCTCTTACCTGACCTTTATTTCCTGTTTTTTCAACAAGGTGCAGCTGCAGTTAAAAAAGCAGGAAAAAAGTGCTTTTTCAAAGACTGCTTCACCGAACCTGTAAACCACCAAACCGGTAGTTAACCCTGTCAGATCCCACCCCTGGTCACAGTGGTGTAGAAAGAGGAAAATTTGCTCTATTCAGTTTAGTACAGTGGATTTATAGTATTTTGCACATCTGTACCAATAAAAAATTACATATGTGTTAATGAATTTCAATCGATTTCAATGTAAGATATGGAACTGTGTAAATCTGGATAAAATGTAAGTATTTTTTCATTCAGGCTCCAAATTCCTGACTTTTTAATCTATAGGAATTTTGTTTTTTCCCTCTTCTATACCACAATATTCATTTACTATTTCGTATAGCATAATTAACCAATCTTTAATCCAATACATTGGATCTGCCCAAAACTCTAGCTCCAAATATCCTGTTTGGTTCAGTGTGTCACGTTAGAGAACTAGGGTGAATAAATTGTGGTTCAGTTAACAATAGATGTTCCTTTTGGGTGAGTATAGCTATTCTCTCACTCTAAGTGATTGGCCTTAGCCATATGGCTAAGTAGAAGGCAACAGCTGACTGGCTTCGGAAGATAAGTATAGTTGGGATTGGTTAATGGAAAACATAGCTATAGGCTAGTTTGAGAAGCTGCAAAAGAAAGAAGGCAGCAACAACTCACTTCTATATTACTGTAAAAAAAAGCCACACTAACTGTTTTGCATTTACAGTATATCTTTCTGTAATCCAGTAATACTCGCTGGTACTATACAACATGCTGGTACTGCACAACAGTTCAGGGAGCTAGCAAATTAGAAACAAAGGCTTGGCAAGAATGTTGAGTTGATATCCCAATATAGATTTTACAGTATCCTGATGCTCCTAACTCAGCAGTTGATATTCTTTTGCAAAACCTGAAGGTACTGTTTTCACAACAAGAACAATCCTAGCAGAAATACAAACTATAAAGAGTGAAGGAGTTTGCAAGGTGCCTGGAATACAAATTGCTTTGATTCAGTTAGAAGCCAAATAGGCAAGTCCATTATAAGAAATAAGGGCCTTGTAAAATTATCTGGGGTGTGTTTGATTCTATTAGTTCTGAGATAGGACGTTTATGACATTAGCTTTGCCACGTGTTGATTGGATCCCTGCTTTTCCCATTTGGTGGAGGCTTCTAGGGAGGTGACAGTAGCTGGATTAGAAGAGTAATGAATATATCCTTGAGAAAGGGAGTGGTTCTGTCTGCCTTGAAAGAGGTGATGGTATACTAACTACCCACTCAGGATGCTGACGGATGTCAAACTGGTGGCCTGGGGCCTGGATGCGTCACGCGTAGGCCATGCCCACTCCAGTACGGCAAATGGGAAAAACATAGTGAAGTGTCACATGATGGCGAGTTTGTGCTGTGACACTTTCATTCATACATTTCATTGGAAATGTAAGCTTAGATTCCGTTTATGACTAAAGCAATATATAGGCCTGAGTGAATGGATAAATAGATGAATAAATACATAGTATTTGGATCAACTATCTGGTATGTGCAAACTGCTATCAGGAGACGAGAGGAATCATGACATTTTTGTATGGATCTAAAGTCAATTTGCAGCATATCTCTTGTTTTAATGGATAAATGGTTCTGCTGGCACTATCCTGGCCTCAACTCTTGGAGAACAAGTATTCTCAAACCAGCAATTCTAGCCATCTGGGGAAAGGAATTATGAAAGAGGTCCCATTTATTTTACCAAGCAAATCCTTGTTAGGGATTTGATGAATCTAAGAAATAACAATGCAATTTCTTCATCTCTCAGTGAAGATAGGGGAACTTTAAGCCTACCTCTTGAGATCCTCTATGTGCCAAACCACTTTGGAAGTAGGGATAGCAAGCAGCAAATGAGCCTGCTTGGTAAATCAACCAGATTTGAGGATTCGTGTTGAAGAATGCCTAATGTACTTGAGTAGGATTGGGGTATCAGGATCATTAAATATTCACTGTTAAGGCAATGAACTATATAGAAATATCATTTGTAAGGATTGATAAAGTGAGCCTTTTAAGTAGTAAAAAAAGTTTTGGAAGCTTTAAAATTGCTTCTATTTAAAATAATAGCTCCTATTTAAAATAGGAGAGTTAATTTTTTAACAGATTGGGACCAAATTAGAAATTTAAAGTCTGGGCATTTTGACATCCTGGAGAAAAAACAATTGCATATTTATTTCTTTGCTTCTCCTTATAGAAACATATGATGCAGGGGAGAAATCCTGAAATTTCTAGAATGTTTTGTTTTTAGATATACGGTTTATAGTAGAACACAAACTGCTCATGATAATATTAATTAAGATATTAAGTCTTGATCCTGTTGTTGTCTTATATGTCTGGTTCACAACTATTTTGAGAGAGAAGTGAAAATGCATCAACAGAGGAGAATAGGCATCAGCAGGTTTGGAATACTTCTAGTTCCAGTATCTTCAGAACTAGGAGGCAGGAATTCAAGAAATATATGTTGAATGTTTCTGTATCTTAAAATGTATCTCTCATCAAATTCATCTTTTGGTGTATGCAAGTGATTTGCCATTTCCTTTACAATGGTGCTTTGGCATCCCAGTCTAGTTTACATCTCAGGGGTTACTTGTATTCTTCTATCCAGGATTAACCAAGTCCAACCCTGCTTGCCTTGTGAGCCTCACAAAGGTTAGTCAGATGTTGCCACCTGCTGGTTATTTATCCCCAAAATTTCCCCTAGATGGATTTTAACTCCTGTTATGGAGGGCACTGATTTGAGAACAGGAATTGTTTAAGGTTTTAGAGTCTAGATTCTTCCATAGAAATATTTGTAATGTTTTAAACAAACTATTAATTTTACCATTAAAATAAACAACACATACACAAATGTAGAAAAGAAGCTAAACAGAGTTGAAAAGAGAGGAGAGAAAAAGAAAAAAGAAGTAAAAGTAAAAAGAAATCAAAAAGTGATTAAAAACAATTTCATCTTCGACAGTTTGTGGGTCATTATTTCTGTCCTTATTTTATGCCATATTTACAAGTAATCCTTAATGTGAATATATAATTACCACTACAGTTATAGTTTATCCTCTTTTACAATGTTATGTAGCCCATCTGATCTAACCATTCATACCAGCAATTCCAGCTCTCGTAATACATTGATGTTTCTTTATCTTTTAATGCTAGGGTTAATTTATCAATTTCTGCACAATTTAGTATTTTTTGAATAATCATTTCCTCTGATGGAGCATGTGGTTGTTTCCAACATTGTGCAAAAGCCAATCTAGCTGCTGTCAATATATGTAATATTATATACTTCAATTTTTTTGTAAATTGTTTATTAAAGATCCCTAATAGGAAGAACTCTGGTTTGAATTCAGTCTGTTCTGTCGTCATTTCCTCCAGCCATGTTTTAATTCTCTGTCAGTATCATTGTGCTTCTATACAGGACCACCACATGTGGAAGTATGTTCCCTCCTTTTTTTTTTGCATTTCCAGCAGTTTGGACTCATATTGGGGTGCATCTTCGCCAATCTTGAGGGGGCCACCTATAAAACATTTTATAAGCATTTTCCTTGTACAATGCCGATTTTGTGATTTTGTTATTTCTATTCTAGACCCTCTCCCATTCTGTTAAGGTGATACTACGTACTATGTTCCTACTCCAGGCTATCATATTTCTTTTAACTATTTCTTCCTCTAATTCTGTCTCTAATAAATAATTATAAAATTTTGTTATTTTTTTTTGTCTGGTCCTAAAATAATTTTGTCCAATTGCTGAGATTTATTCTAAATTCCGAATACTTTCTTATGCTTATATCTGTTTTGAACCAATGGTCGATCTGTAGTCCCTGATCTTGGAGGTCCTGCCATGATTTCAAATTTCCTTGCAGACCAAATAAATCCTTATATTTAATCATCTTGGTAATATCCAAATTATTAGGGTGTATAATCGCCTCCATAGTTGAGATCCAGATCGGGATCTTTAAACAATATTTTTTTCCTTACTTTCTTCCAGTTGGTCCGGAGGGTATCTCTAATTAGAAGTCTATGGAAGTGTTTCTGACTGGTTTTCCCTATATCCCATAAAAAGGCATACCACCCCCTCTGTAAGTCATGACCTTCTAGGACTAATATTCTCTTATTAAGTTCACCCATTCTTTCAACCCTACTAAAGAGGCTGCACTGTGATATAGCTCCCAGTTTGGAAGTGCCACCCCTCCTCTGCCCTTCATGTCCTGCATTGCCTTTAAGTTTATTCTCGGTTTTTTCCCTTGCCAGATGAATTTTGAAATTATCCTCTTTCAAAGTATTTTTTTATGAATTTTGATTGGTATTGTCTGAAATATATAGAGGAATTTTGGAAGAATAGTCATTTTAATGGCAGCAATCCTTAAAAATATTTGTATTTTTATGTTTTGAGTTGTATGTTTGCAAAACATTTTTCTAAAAATATTTCATAGATATTTTTGCAGCGCTTGTTCCCTTTCCCCCTGGCCATGGAGAATTTCATTTTGCTGATCAGATCAAATGAAAGTCATATGAGTTTTAGGCTTAATAAAGTGGCACAAGAAGATTTGTCATAATATTAAAGTTACATCAAATCATAATGAAATAATTTTTGTTGATCAATTCAGTTTGTTACTGATTACCCTGTAGATATAAAATCTGTGTTTCTTGGCTTATACTTTAATTATAAAAATTGTAGGACACAATGGAAACGTCAACAGATTACAAACATTATGAGCAAATGTGGCAAAATACTATTTTACCGGTAGTTTTAGTTTATTAGAACCATTCTAATAAAGATTGACTTTCTTTAAAAAAGGAAATCTCAGTGTACATGCAAATAACAAAGTAAAACTATGGTAGGGGTTGTAGGGAATATTTCTGCTTGTTTTAATATTTGCTAGTCCTGCTTTTATTGGAATTTTGATTCAGATTCCCAACTTCCATGTAATGGTTTTAATTGTCTGTCTCGCTTCTCTCTTATGGGTAGCAGAGAGTTAAGAACAGCATGGTTCTAGAAAGAAGATGGGCTCTACTAGGTTAACTGCAAAAGAACTATGTGAGAATGATGACCTTGCCACAACGTTAATTCTTGACTCCTACCTTGGCTTTAAGACTCATAAAATGAATGTAAGGTAAGATCTAGGAGCGGGCATGGAATAAGTCTGAAAATTAAGATTGTAAAGGCGGGATAGACAGACAGCCAGACAGGTTTTTATATATTTTAATATTAAGTGGTGAGGATTGAGAGTACAAGCAGCCTTTGACTTACAATTGGGACCAGATGTTTTTTATTGTTGGTGGGCTCTGAATCCGGCAGAGGCTTCCTGTGCTACAGCAGGTTAGCAAGAACTGGTGCGCAGCTGAGATGGGAGAGATAGGCAGGCGGGGGGGGAGTTGCAGCACCTCTTTGTTAATGCAAGTAAGCTGTCAGGCATCTGAATTTTGAACACATGATTGCAGGGGTGCTGCAACAACCATAACTTGCACCACTGTAATTTTGAATGGTTACTGAAGTAATGGTCATAAGTCAAAGACTACCTGAAATGAGGAAAAAAATATGTTACAAAAGAAATTCTTCGTCTTTCATTTTTATAGCCCACTCCCAGCCATCAGGAGAAAGCACCACTTACGGGAGGCAGTAGAAGCTTTCCGGAAGCGCAAGGACCTAGAAGCATCATATCAAGCCTTGATGCAGGGTGGCTGGGCCTGCCAGTATTTTGCAAACCGGAGCCATCAGCAGGAAGCTGCCTTCAAGACTCATGTATAATCCTAGTTTTTGCCTGTTTAATGGCTGGAGAGCATGTTGAAGTCTGAAAAAAGTTATTTATATACACTTTTTCATCCCAATCCTGTTCCTTTTGGATTATTACATTATGGCTCTGATCATCCTAGTCAGCAGGGCAGTTAGGGTGGTGGGAGTTTAACACCATTCCAAACACTCAGGTGTCGAAAGAATGTTCCATAATGTGTTATTTATTATTGAAAGTGAATCATGGGGCATGTACTTATAACACAAGCTGGCAGTGAAGATCCACAGAGGCTGACTGGATGAAAGGACCAAGAAGTATCATTTTCTTATTTTTTAACTTTTTTTTTTTTGGCTTGAAGTTTTTAAGCATCCTCAGCTAATGTGAATGTCAGCTTCATAGAAAGAATATTGCTTAAAAACTATAATGAGATACATGTTATATGGGAAGAGAGTAAACATTCATAGAAAAGTCAGGAGCTTTGTCTCTAACTTAGCTCTCTCTATCCACTGATTCTTCCAATTAACTCCCTTGCAGTGATTTTATTTATATCATACCTTTATTATTTTTTGTAAACAAATTAAGGCAGTAAACACATCTAATACTCCTCTTCCTCTCTTCCCTCTCCCCCATACCCATCCCAGATTTTTCGGTACCTTCGCATTTTCCTTCCCGAGAGTGGTTTTGCCATCAGACGCTGTAGTCGATATTCCTTAGAAATAAATGGAGCCCGGGTAGTCTCTACAAAATCATGGTAAGTTCATAGTGCTACTGCTTCCCCATGTGGCAAAATTATTAACTTGCATGCTGGATTATACTAAGAAAAAGAGAAATAAGTAAAAATAGATGAAGCATAAAAACCAAAAAAATGTGTAAACCAACATTGAGAGGAAAACAAAGGGAGGGGCAAGGAGTGCTTTTTCTGATGAGTGTATTTTATAACAGGGCGTGTCCATTAGAAAAGCTTTCTTTCCAACTAGAATGCAAAGAAGTGGATAATAAAGTAGCCATGCATTTGCTCTTGTACGTTTTACTTAAGATTACAGCAGCATAATCCTCTGGATAGGTAAGGTTATTTTTTTTCCCCTCTCCCATAAGGAGAAAGAATGATAAGCTGGAGCTTTTAGAAGGCTACATTGCAGAACTGACAGAACCCGATGAAAGCCTCCTCCGAGCAGGTGAAAATGACTTCAGCATCATGTACTCCACCCGGAAACAGTGTGCCCAGCTTTGGCTAGGGCCTGCAGCCTTCATTAATCATGGTAGGTGGAAGCCTTCAGGTGCAAGCTAGAGAGGTAGTTGCCTCAAACTGTTTAAATTGCTATGAAAATGACAATGACAAGTCTCATATAACTGGTCTTATAACTTAGACCAAACGATGAGGAGAAATAAGATAGCTATCTATCCCGGATCAGAGAGTATTAATAAATAATATTCTAGTTAAGTATTTGGGAAATTGAATTTTCTGTAGATATCAATAGGGATACATCAGAACCAAACAGTGGAGAAGACTGGTATGTAGTGAATATGCAGTTGTTATTAATGGGGCAGTACAGCAATCAGGATTCAGTTGAGAGTATATTATTCAGAGCTCACCTGGGAGTGTTCATTAGACCTGTTGACATTTCCTTAAACCCAGTGCGGCTTTTCTTGGGCTACTGTGAAACAAGGGAAAGACACAACTTCTTTACAGGATTGCCACAGAAGCGGCTTGAGTGTCTCCAGATCTCCAAATCACATTTTCCCCTTCAAATCTGAACTGCTGCAAGGTCCTAATTATAGTATTAAGAATTAATAATCTCATTTCAGGTAGTTTTGTAGATGTTTCTGACACGAATACAGACAGGATTATTTGGTTGCCAAAACTTGCATTATTTTTCATAGACAGAATGTTTTAAAATCTGTTTTAATCTTGATGTCTAGACACTGTTTCAATTTTCTCTTACAAAAATGAATATATTTTCCTAGTTAATATGATTAACTAGATAATAATGCTCAGGCATCTTTTATTACTCATTATAACTGTCATTGTCTTTGGATAACATATAGACGAATTGTTCCTATTAACATGGTTTCCTTTGAGATATTTTTATATTTTAGTAAAAAAACAAGAAAAAAAGGCATTGTAGTGAGTTATTTTGTTGGTAACATTACTGAAATTTAAAGGCACTGAAGCTTAAAAGGACACTTTGTTTTAAAGAAATACAAATGTCCCTACTTATCTGCCCACTTAATAACCAGAAAGAAGCAGTTTCTTTATAAGGAGTGGCCTAATCATGTCACTCTGTATGTGCACCTGTGTAAGTTATCTGTTATTTTCTAAATTAAGCATTTGCCAAGAATTATGATTATTTTAGCAACTGGGGGATATGTCGGTGCTAACTATTAATATAGGTGGCCTGTAGATTAAAATTGCTTGGTGCTGTTTCTTGTGTGAGCTTTCATAGTGAAGGACATTTAATTATGTGAATACTGCTATAGGAATTGAGAATTTGATAGAATTTTGATTGCAAAAGGGTTGATAAAAATTAGTGTGCACTGTCTAAGGAACTTCTTATCCTTGAACATCTAGTTAGGATTGTATGTTTTATGTTGAACAGAGGACTATTAAATTTTTTTGAAGCTGGAACCAAATTTCCTAAATATTTAATCTTAAACTTGTATCATTTGTATAAAGACTAGATATAAAAAGGCATTTAGAATAAGCTTTTTAAAATTTATGTATTTATTACTTATTCATTTTTCACATTTTTAGATATCCAAAATGGGAGAGGTTTATTTACCAGCTATTTGTGAGGCAATAGTCTTTTAAGAAAGCTTCCTTCGTTGTTAATTGCTTAAAATGCTGTATTAGTAAGGCTTTCAAATGACATGGGGATTATCTGATAAATTTAGGATTCAGAATTTAACTGCAAAAGGCAATAATAAATTGAACTTTCTTGGAAGCTTCTCCTTATTCAGCCACAGAACTCATAGAAAAATTTATTTCCTTTTCTTAACATTTTCATTAAGGGTATAAGACATAAGGCACAATTATTTTGCACTTTATTGAGAGATTGGTTATGATAATATAGTTTACGAATGATAAATATGTTGCTTTGAGTTCATAATGTGGAGCTCAACAGTGAGAATTAAGCCAATATGGTACTTTTCTTTGATTGGATTTCCATAATTTGTATGTCACCTACTCAATTGATTCAGATTTGTAAATGCTTCCAGATAAAGCAAAACATACTGTTGAAAACATGAGCAAATTTTCTCTGCTGCAGCTTCTTCTAAGAAAGAATACTTGTAATTCATGTTTAGCTCTTTTTTAAAATTTTCCTTTTTCTTCTTATTGTTTCCCTGCATAATTAATTCCTATACAGACTGCAGACCAAACTGTAAGGTAAGATGAGTTGACGTATTGTTGGGGCAAGGGATGCTATTCATTAGAATACAAGACTCTGAACTTGGAATGAGGCCTAAATATATTACTGACTACAGTGAATAGGAATGAGAGGGAATATATTTGGGGAGAAGTTGAAATAGACCAGGAGCACAATATATTGTAGCATTGTCTGGAAAACACTTAGTTGTGATTGCTTGAGATAGAAAAGTATCTCCTTGTAATTCTAGAAGCTCTACCTCATTAGTCTTTTAATTCTTTACTGGAGGTAAAAAGCCTTTTTTGCCATCTTGAAAGCTAGAAATATGCTATAGTTTTCCATTGTTTAGGATTGAAAGAAACCAAATTCCCTTTGATATCCTGTTTTGTGAAATTGTGCTACAATGACATAAGAAATCTAAACAAATAGCTTTGAGAAAGAGTTGATTTGAAATGTGGACTTCCTGAAGGGGATGAGGAGACTGCTGCATTCTCCTCCGCTCCTACGAGCTTCTTAAATCCATTTCTTTCCGTTCCTTTCCAACTATCCTTTCTTTCCTGCTTTTTCTATGCCCAACCTTTTGTTTATGCTGTAGTTTGTCCCAATGGATGGGAACACTGCTTGTGTCAAGGTGCTGCGGGACATTGAGCCAGATGATGAGATCACATGCTTCTATGGTGACGGCTTCTTTGGGGAGAACAATGAATTATGCGAATGCCACACTTGTGAAAGGTGAAAATGGAGGGGCCAGAATCTCAAATGTTGGGAGCTGGTTGGGAGTCAGATTTCTGAGTTTCTGAGAAACAGCGGCAGGAAGGGAAACCAAATGATTATCTCCATTAATTCTTGCCCCCAGCTTCCAGTGTTTTCAGCAGTCATTCCTGGCAAGAAGTACAGACTGCTTAATGCCCAGGTGTTAATATGCCTTAGTTCTCAAGGGATGGTTGCTAGCGAGCATAGATTTTGAAAGGGAGGGGCAGTATTTTTCTTCTATTATCACAAGAGCCCTGGAAAGATCAATGGTAGCATCTAAAGGCTAGGAAGAAGACATTGTAACTGTTCTCACACAGAGTTCATCAGTGGAAAATCTCTTCATCCTTAATATTAAGTTTATCATGTCTTAATTTTTCATGCATTTGGCAAGTGCCTTGGAGTTTGTTTTCTCCAAGGATAGAAAAGGATGTATAAATATTCTGAGGGAAGCAGTGATCTTTTTGATTAATACTGGGCTGTTCCTGATAGTGTCTCTCATTCTCAATTTTTCCTTAGGAAGGGGGAAGGAGCTTTTCGGCTCCTGAATCGGACTCCATTGCTAGCTACCTCAATCAGTGAGAAATACCTACTGAGAGAGACAGACGGCCGTCTGCAGAGGTGGAAAAATCAGTCTTGCAAACTTGCTCAGCGTAATGTGAAAGGGGGACACAAAGCCCGGCGCAGGAAATCACGATTACATGGTGAGATAAGCAAAAATACTTAACTGGGATTGATTTTGTGCATCCTAGTGCTATGCAGGGCAGAATGGTTTGCTTATCACCTATAATGTAATCTTAACAGGACACTGTTACATCCCTGTCAGCCTTAGGGTTTGTCCCACAGCAGTAGTTATCCTAACTTCTTTTGGGTTGCAAAAATAAAGTAGTCATTTGTTTTTATTAAAGTGGATATTCAAGAATTATTCTAGCTACAATATTAGATTAAAGCCTGGCAGAACTAATTGGGTAGCCTAGTATAATTCCAGTATTGGGAAATGTAATCAATGTTCAGATATTTGGCTCCAAAGTGGGAAAGATAAGCTATCCTGTTGCTGCCTCCTTAATGTTTTCTGGGATTTTTCACATACTGTGTGATTTCAGGAAAATGTGCAGCTTCTCTGTGAGACTGCTGACAGGTACAGTGAGGTTACTTATGTCAGATTTGTTTTTAAGCGAACATGTTTTATTTACATGTTCGAAGAAAGAGTTTATAGGATTGTGGATGTTAGTGTCAGGGTTGGATAGTGAAGCAGTCAAATACTTACTCCATCTTCTTAAAGCCCTTAAAAAATCCAGGGAGAAATGGAAGTTGCTGGTTGTGTAGTGAAGATATGGCAGCAATAGTTAATAAGAGGAAACAGGGGAGTGGAGTGTTGTTCTTATAATTAATACCTCTTTTCCTTTTCTAGGTGCTGTACACAGATATACCACTCGCTGGTATCTTAAGATGCTCAAGCCTTTATATATCCCACTGCACAACTGCTTGGCCTGCAGAACACGTGGATGCAAGCTCCGTAAGCAGCCTCTGGTGTGTCTGCTTCGTTGTCCTTCTCCTATGTTATCTGTATTGCACCTCAGGCAGTCTTTGGGAAACAAGAATTGCTACGCCCAGCAAAGCTGCTCTCTTTTAAAGATGCACAACTGCCCCGAAAGCTCTGATTTGGCCAACCAGGGCAGCCTGGTAGTGAATCTTGGGAAGAGAATTCCCTTGGATTGGGCAAGGTTTCATAGGGAAGTAGTGTGCGACATTAGGGAGGAAAAATCTTATAACGCTAGTCAGGAGTTTAGCCAGGGGACTGAGGAATATGATTCAAGGGATATGGAGAGTCATGCTGATGTTAACGAAACCCATGAAACAGGATCTGGGGTTCTCCATTCGGGAGAGCAAATCCCCCTTGATTCTTCAGGTTCTCTTTCATCCAGCCAGGTCTTGTGCAGAACAAGGAGCACGGCCCAGCGCCAAGCTCAAGTTTTGCCCCAGTCTCAGTTGTCATTATCAATGGTAGACCCCAAGCTTTCACAGTATGCTCATGTCCGCCTGGAAGGCCCACTTTTTGGAGGCAGGCCATGCTGTCAGCAGCCCCCTTCAGACAAGACAGAGAAGGAACAAGCGGAGGATCAGCATCTTCCTAAGCGGATGGTTTCCTTTCCTCCTTTTGTTCCACCCAAACGGCTTCGACTGGTAGTGAGCCATGGTTCCATCAACCTCGAGGTAGCTGCAAGCTCCTGTGAGGAGATGTCTTGATCTGGCTGATCTCCTGTGATTGAAAACAAGACTTTTAGCTTCTTACTGAATTTACCCATGATAACCATCTACCAGAATTTGCCTGAAATTATCCATCTTTTTGTTATGCCCTTCTCCCCATCACCTTGTATGGGTTAATAACATCTCTTCTGAAGAAATGTCCCCAGGTGGGCACAAGGCTGCCTATGCTAAAAACCTTGTGTTCCACTCCTACTTTTTTCCATTGAAATTGATATTTCAGTTATCTTTCCAGAGTACTTCCTTTATCACTTCCTCACTATTCCTTTAAAAAAATTGTTCTCCACTACTTTGCCAAACTTTACTGTATAGTCTTGAAACTTAAGCCATATAGTAGACTGCATGGATGCTTTGGATTGCCTCCTGGTCTTTTCTTTGAACTCTACTTTATCTCCCACAGAGTCCTTTCATCTTTCTACTCTCGTATCTCCATGCTCTGGTTTATAGTACTGTAGTCATAGACTTCTTGACAGATGGACATGGTAATTTGGCATTTATTGTCCCTACAAAGTGAGGCAGAATTGGTGAAGTGACTTGTGGAGAAAAGATAACCAGCATCTAATCAGGGAAGTCTCTTTAAAACTTATTGTGAGAAAACCAGCAACCAGAAGTGCACATTGGCATGCAGCCTAAACTGTTCAGTCCATTTAGCCTGAAGGCTGCTCTTTGCTAAACAGGCTTATATAGGGAATTAAATGTTCTTGCTCCTCTTCTTTTGCCTCACTGTTTGAGTGCCTATTGTTACAAGACAGCTAATTTTCTAGTTTTGGAAGCTACTTTTATATTAGTTAATCTGTGTGACTTGTTTCTTCTCCCAGCCAGAGTTTTAAACAGGTGTCTGGTGGGGCTTTTTAGAATCTTAATGAATTTTAGATATTCAGGTGTTTTATATTTGATAAAGTTGAGCTGCTTGGCTCAGGGGCATTGTGATAAAGGGGCTTCCTTCCATGAGAGACTGATGAGCAGGATAAAAGTTTTACTCAGTTTAATGTGGCCTAACTCGGTTCAAAGTCACATAGGGTAAGTGAATTTGCTGTATATTTTTCCCGTTCATCTTGCCATGATAGGATTTTGAACAGGTAGGGCACATTCTGGTGTTAGAAATCTGAGTGCAAGGTCTATGGGGAGAGGTGGTGGCAATTGAATGGGTGAAACGTTGCAATTAAGCTTTTCCTTTAAGTGCTTGCTTTGTTTTGAAATTTTGTGGAGTCCTTTGTGGTGTTGACTTTGGATACATATCCAAGAGTCTTAGGATAGCCTGATGTTCCTTTTCCAACTCCTCTTTTTTTGTTTGTTTGGTATTGTAGTTTGGTGCGGTTAGCATTAGAAAAGCTTGTCTAGATGACTTGAAGGTCGTGTTAAGATAGGGATTAAGCTGTGCACATTTGAGAATAAATTCCAGTAAACTTAGCCTTTCTGTTAAATACCTTTGGGTAGAATCCAGCAAAGGTTCTTTGAGCTCCGTAGTTGGAAAATCTGAATTATAGAGCTTTTAGAATAGAATTAGTTTGTCTGGCATGCCTTTTTGATCTGAGATACATAATGTATTGCAATTTTGGGTTTTTCAATGCTCTGCAAAATAGGTGCTGATTCCTGGGAAACCACTATAATTTTGAAAGTAGTTTTTAGGTGCTAGCTTTGAAAAGCTAGGATGAGCTGATACTGTTCAACCTGTCCTGAGAAGGAAATCTTAAGAAGAATAGACAATGCATACTCATGTAAAAATATCAAAGAAACAATACAGACAGAGACAATAGTCCACAAATTGATTGGGAAGGCATAACAATAGCATATTTTGGTAACAATTTGGATATTTTCCTATAGGTGATTCATATGATTGTCCAGAATTACCACTGTCTATGGACATTCTTTTACTCTCTTAGACCTATATGAAAAAAGATAGTTTAAAAAAATGTTAGTGAACTTGATAAATGTGGTCTTCAACTTACGACCATAACTGGGACTAGAATTTTGATTGCTAAGCAATGCAGTCATAAAGTAAGATGTAATGTGGCCACATTACTCAGTGACCACAACCTTGGCAGTTCCTGTCGCTGCGGTTAAGCAAATTTTACTGGTTATTAGCCAAGGACCCACCCCAAGTCTTCCAGGATTGGTCTCTTCCATACCTCAGCCTTAACAAGGTAAACTCCACCAACTTGCCTATCTCCCCGCTACCCAATCTCTGCATTTTTGGATGTCCTGCACTCTGCAGCTGTTCCACTTCTAGTTGCCCTTGCCATCGGGCACTCCGAGACCCCCACTGCCCCAGCTAAGCTTTGCTGCCAACTTTTTGCTTCCTTTGCTGACAAGGTTTATCCACCCTGACTGTTGGGCAGAACTGGGACTGCCCTCAAGGGGGGGCGGCGGGGGGGTGGAGGGAAGCACAAAGTCCGTTCCAGAGCTGAAGTATATTGAAATGTTCCTTTGCACTGTGATCCTGGGGACAAATAGGGCTAGCTTTGTGCTATAAAAAAGGTGGGATATCACAAAGCAGCTGCTGAAAGAAGCTGCTTTGTGTTTGTTTTTTTTCCCAATCCCATACATCCCAGAGCATGGTGCAAAGGGGTGTTTTGTTGTGTTGTGGCCCCTTTAAGCTGCTTTGTCCTCCTTTGGCAACTCAGCCCAAACACAGGCCTGACATACCTTGTCAGCAATAGAGAAAAAAAAAAAAGAAAGAAAGAAATTGAAGGTCAGCTGGGGCAGCAGAACACAGGACAGCAGGGGGCCAAATGGGAATAGATGTGGGGGGGGGGCATAGGTAATAGGAGTTGAAGTTCCCCTGCTGTGGTTAAGTATGGGCAGGCTGCTAAGCACCTGAAGTTTGATTATGTGACTGGGGGCACTGCCATGGCTGTAACTTCGAGTATGGGTCATAAGTCCCTATGTTCGGCTTCATTGTAACTGAACGCTTGCTGAACAAATGGTCATAAGTCAAGGACTACTTGTATCACATTGCTCACTAAAATAATTGAGACATAGCTGAAATTGTACATCTTTTTTCTGTTCTGTAAGCTTGCTTTATATTTAAAAATAAGACACTTTTTTCTTTCCCCAAAATTCTGCATGGTAGTAATCATTTTATATTTCATAATAATTATTCCATTGATTTCTTGTTAATTGCACATAGTTGTTGGTTGCATCGCAGAATGTGTGATTCACTATCTATGATATTTTAATGCCTATACGTGAGTGTCTATGGGAATAGTTTTGACCTAAACGTGAGATGATGTCTCATTAGTTTTTAAATTTTCTTCTACAAGATGTGCATTTTCATCTGTGTATCAATGTTTGTGCACAGCATAGATATATGTACTAAAAAGAAATAGAGGTTTAGTAGTTGTTCTGACTTTGTGGCTCCTATTAATGTGGGTGCCCAGACTTGCTTTCTTGCTTGCTACTTTCCACTTATGGATGTTCCATGTTAGTTAATAGTTGGAGACTAGTGGCACAGCCCTTTAGATAATGACTGTAATGGGGGGAGGGGAGAGAGGAACAAAGAGGGCAAGATGGTTAAGGGTTTTGTGTGGGGAAAGGTCGGGTGGGAAGGGTGGATATTGCTAGTCAGGATACTGTACACTCTCTGTGGAAAGACACACTGGGGCTCGGTTTTCACCTTTCTGTGCCTCTCTTTCCCCCATCTTTCCTGGGGTGGGTTTATGGTTTGTGCTACCTCGTTTGGGAAGGGAAGCATCAAGGCAATCTTCCACCTCTGACTTCAGTCTTCTTTCAGTCCAGTGTCCGTTAAGTCCTGTCATTTCTTTTCTCACTTCCATGCTTTCAGATTTAAAAAAACAAACAAACGTGTTCTTAGGAGGTGGAGCGATCAGCAGATCCAGTGGTTTGTTGTTGTTGTTGTTGTTGTTGTTGTTGTTGTTCTAGCATCCTGTATGAATAAGTTTTTAAATCAGCCTCTCCAGATCCAGCCTCTGCTTGTTTCCCAGATGATACCATGGTTTATTACATTGCTTCTTCCATCTTTTATAAAAATTTTCAAAGATGCTTTTGGCCTGGAGCCACTCTATCCTCATTTCAAAGGAAAGATTGAATTCCACTTCTCCATAAAAGTTATGCTCAGGAGGGTATGTTAAGATACCTTGATTTTCACACAGCTAGGAAAAATAAGCAACCTGGACACTGGGTAAGGTGTCTGGTTGGCTGGGTTCCTCAGGGAGTGGGTTTGGTAGACACCTGTATATCATTTTCTGCCCCAGGTTTTAACCACAGTACATCAGTCCGAATACCTTCCTTTTGTGGTGGGGTTATTACAAACTTGCTTCATTAGGAAACAAATTGCTCAGCCCATAATATGCACTAACTAGGATTGTGGAAAATTTGCTCCATTGTACTACCCTATCACTCAACATGCTCGCAATACTTAATTTAAATGGAAGATTCTTCAAGAACTTCAGCATCTAGAAGACCAGAGAGTCCAAAAGGGGTAACATGGAGCATATTTTCAGGGGTGTGTGTACTCTGCCAAAAAAGTAACATAAACCGAGCTCTGAATTTGCATGAATTATGAAATGAATTCTTAGGCCTTTTTTGGTAACATGTCATAAAACATGGGCACCACATTACAGGAAATTTGACGATAGGAAAAAAAGATTAGTATATCCCATCTAGCAGAGCTGGTCTATATCTTCCATCCCAGTGTCAAGGGGCGAGGAGTCGTTGGATGGAAGAATTTCAACAGGACCTGGACTCAAGCTCAAATCTTTCATTGGTACAGTATGATTGAGTGCATACAGCCCTGGGTGTATATTAGTTTGGTCTGAGCAGAAGGAGAGGGTGGGGAGGGTAAGGGGGTTATCTGTATTTTTAATGGTGCTATATTTGGAAGGGTTGATGGAGGTTACTCTCAGCTCCAAATGTGGAAATTTGAGGCCTCAGGGTATTTCCTGCCCCATGATCAGGCCGGTATCCTGAAGTGGGTAAAGGCAGAAACTTCTGTTTGTATTTTTAATGGTGTGTGTTAGGGGGGAGGGGTGCATAATACTTTTAAAATACTTGATTGAAATAAACTCTTCTAAAACTTTTCCTGTTTCTTGATGTTGTGATATATGTGAACTGCCTCTTGTGAGACCTGTTGGCAGAATTACTTCAGATATAACAAATGCTAGTTTAAACATGAACATTTAAAAACTATTTCACTATCCAGACTGATAAATGAATGCTAAGGACATTAGCCTCAACGTGTACTCTTCTCTCTAAGGTAAGTCGGACATTTTAGACAGACTGAATGTCTTGTAAACAGAACTAAAGTATACTTGTGGTATAATGATTGAAAGTGAAGTTTAATTGTTAAATGATTACATAATATTCAGCTGAGGACAATAAATAGATTGTTCTTTCTTCCCATGCTAGGCAAAAGTTTGTTTTGAACCCAGGAAAATTTAAGCCCAAGCTTAAATAAAAATATTTGACAGCTTTCGGAATAAATTTGATGTTATGAATGTTGAACAGTGTTTTTTAGTAAGATACTTCATTGTTTCTTTACCCTTTGCCTGCAGGGCAACTTAATGTAGGTATATTTCAGTTCAGTTCTTTTATTATTTGTCATGAATCCAAAATAAAGGTATAAAAATCATAAAAATATACATTTATATACCCTTGTTTACATGCATGAATTAACAAGAAATTATTCTAAATAAAAATAGAGGCTCAAAAAAATATATAGAAAGTATAATATGAATATTTATGAGTCTTCACAATTAAAAAAGATTATACTTTAGTTGATACTTCTCAATAAATAGGTTAGTTATCTAATTCTGTCTTTCCTACTGGTAGATATTTTAAAGAGTTGGTAGAGATGGTCTACCCATTTGTAAAATTTTAAATGATTCATGTGTATATATTCACAGTGAAGAATTTTATAGAAAAAACCTTGGTAAAGAATTATAGTATCTTTAAACTTTGATATTGAATTACATTCTTTGTGATGTTTAATATTTACTTTTTAAATATTGGGAAATATTTAAATCAGTTATTAGATATTTAATCCATACTGTTTAGTTTCAGTCTAAAAGGGAAAGTAACAATGTGAAACATAAAACCAATATATCAAAATAATTTACTTAGTTCAATTGAAAAAGTAAAGGCAAGGTTTCCCCTATCCAGTTGTGTCTGACTATATAGGGGGCTGTGCTCATCTCAGTGTTTAGCTGAGGCAATCAGCATTGCCAGAAGACACTTCCATGGCTATGTGGCCGGCAGAACTACAGTACATGCTTAGGCACACAGAATGCTGTTACCTTCCCATCAAAGTGGTATCTATTTGTCCGCTTGCATTCGCCTGCTTTCAAACTGCTAGGTGAGCAGGAGCTGGAGCAAGTAACAGGAGCTCACTCAGTTGTGCAGTGCTTGGGTCTCGAACTCAGGTTCAGTTTTTTAGCTGACAAGTTTGGCGTCTTCAACTGCTGAGCTATCGTGCCCACACTTATGCTGTAATACAGTGTAATAACCATTGTTGTTCATTTGTAAAATTCTTAAGGATACATCCAATTTAAATTTTACATAACTCTTTCCCTTGGCTTCTGTTGAGGAAGTAGTTTCAGGTTTTGTTTTATGGATGAGGACCCTTAAGTATTGTGGAAAAGCTGGAGAAATGCACAATTTCTAAATACTATACAGAAAGTGTTAGTTATTACCTTGGAATTGTTACTGTTCAAAACCCTCTATTAACCCTCTATTATCACAGATGAACAAAATGGCTCTTTGGTTTTAACATTTTGTCAGATTGCTACTTCAGAATTAC